CTACCCGTCAGCTGCTGTATGATTCCAGACAGACTCTGCTGTCTCTGTACTCCAGCCTTCCCACCTAGCTGTTGGGGCTGCCTCTTGCCATGCTTGGTCCAGGCAGTAGCAGCTACAGCATTTTGGGGCGCCCCTGCCCTAGCCGGCGCACGGGCGAGGAGTCTGGGATGTGGGTTCAGGCGCCGCGTTCAGTGTGTCCCTGGCCTCTTTGCTCCCTGTGCCCAGGGCACTTGGGGCTCCCCTACCAGCCATAGAGGGGCCCTCAGCCAGCCTCAGGGCCGTGTCCCCACCCAGGCGAGGTCCAGGCAGTGTGCAGCGATTGGTTCATTTGCCCCACAGAGGGGGCAGCTCCCAGGAGCCATCTTAGTGGCTAGCCGCTGTGGAGGCGCAAGCGTGTTGCATCCTGCAGGGCCAGGCTCCCGAGTGGATGGAGCCAGGCCCAGGAGCCATGGGGGCAAGGCCACCTGGCTGGCTGGGAGCGGCTGCCAGGGCCCATTTGGAAGCGATGGCTGCCAGCCTGGCCTGGCGTGGATGGGCAGTTGAGGGCCAGTCGCTGCAGGTGACGCCCCCAGCGTGGCATGAAAGGCTCGGTTATTCAGGCGGAGCGGTGGCGCGGGCCGAGGCGATGAGTCCTCCTGCTGAAGCTTTATGGATCATCTGACATTTCCAGCCAGCATCCTCTTCATCGCGAGCGCATGTAACGATGAATTAAAAATCCTTTTACACCAGGTGTGCTTGTACTGCTTAATGGAGCCGAGCAAGCCGCACATTAACTCCTGCAGGCCCGGCGGGCGCCCGCGGCTGCACCCCCAGGACCGCTCGCCGTGGGCTCTGGTGCAAGAGTCCCAGACAGGAGGAACTGGCAGGGAACAGGGCAAGGGCAGATCGTGCAGTGTGTGGCCACAGTCAGGATGGCCCTCCCTGTGGAAGCTTCCTGGAAGCAGGGACCCAGGCTGGGCAGCACAGGTGGGAGCGGGCAGACGGAGCCGGCTTTACCTGATGCCCACGGTCCCGCCGCTGGCTCGGGGCTGTGGTAAGGCTTCTGCCCGCGCCTCGGGCACAGGGGCGAGCGTGGCGTGGTGCAGGGTGGGCTGGGGTGCACCCCCACCCCCACGCCCTCCACAGCCATGTGGGCTAAGGGTAGGATGCCAAGCTGGAGACCAGGGACAGGGCTTGACCCCAGCCCACAGGGCATCTGCTCCCTTATGAGGTGGTGGCGCTGGGCATCCTTGGCCCTGCCATGGTGGAGGCATGGGGGGCCTCTCCATGAAGTGGGGAGACAGGGAACACGCACCGCCCTTGGGTGCAAGTTGCTTGTGTTGGGCACAGCTGTGGCTATGTGGGCTTTCTCCCGGGCACCCCGGCGTGTGCAGGGTCCCAGCACATGGGCCCCGGGGTGAGGCCCACACCCGGGGAAGCGTGGCCCTGCCACTGCCTGTACATCAGCCTGGCCCTGCTGAGGTATTGGCAGCTTAATAGTGAGATCTTGTCACCATTGATCATCTGCCCCTCCAGCTCGGTTCACAGTGGCAAAGGCCTTGCTTACCAAACACCCTGGGGGGCTTTTATTAAAGCTGCGGTGGAATTCTTCCTCTTGGCCTTGTAAAATGCAGGCTTTCATGGTTTTGTGCAGCACTGTAGTATATTCGGGTTGCCCAGGGGATGGGTTTCTTATTGTGATGATAGAATGTTCCAGAAGTAGATGGTTCCTGTGGAGGACAGATGGTCCTCCCAATGCCCCAGCCTGGGCCAGTAGCCGTGCTCCCAGAAGCCCCCCATGCACAGAGGCTAGGGCTTGCAGAGCTCTGCCTGGGGCCGGGGTGAAGGCTCTCAGCTGGTGGGGACCCCACCCAAGGCTGGGCCATTTGGGGAACCATCTGTCCTCCACCTGGCCTTGAGGCCACTGCTAGGAGAGTCTGGGGTGGGGCGGTGGGGCTCCTGCCCCCGGGCACAGAGCACCGGGCCCCATTCCATGCCTGTGCCCCACAGAAGTGCGTGTACTGCCGGAAGCGGATGAAGAAGGTGTCAGGTGCCTGCATCCAGTGCTCCTACGAGCACTGCTCCACCTCCTTCCACGCCACGTGCGCCCACGCAGCCGGCGTCCTCATGGAGCCAGACGACTGGCCCTACGTGGTCTCTATCACCTGCCTCAAGCACACGTCCCCCGGGCATGCTGTGAGTGACCCCTGGCCCTGCCCTTCCCGACCTACCCTGCACCTGCCCTGCCCCTGCCAGCGCCCAACCCCTCATCTCCCCATGCCCTGTCCCTCCACATCTGGGCCGACGCCCCGCCCCCTGATGACGCCCCGCCCCCTGCCGACGCCCCGCCCCCTGGCTGACACCCACAGGCACAGCTCCAGAGGGCCGTATCACTGGGCCAGGTGGTCATCACCAAGAACCGCAACGGGCTCTACTACCGCGGGCGTGTCATCGGCTCCAGCTCACAGACCTTCTACGAGGTGAACTTCGAGGATGGGTCCTACAGCGACAACCTGTACCCCGAGAGCATCACGGTGAGCCTCGAGGACCCCTGCCCTGAGGGTCAGGGAAGCACGGGTGGGGCCGGGCCTCCCAATGCCTGCCTTACCGTCCTGTGCCCTGCTGTCCCCAGAGCAGAGACTGCGCGCGGCTGGGGCCGCCGCCCGAGGGCGAGGTTGTGGAGCTGCGGTGGACGGACGGCAATGTCTACAAGGCCAAGTTCATCTCCTCTGCCACCAGTCACATCTACCAGGTAAGCCGGGCCGTGGATGGCGGCTGTGCTTGCTGAGGGGGGCCATGAGCCGTTGCTCCAACACCTGCCTGGCTGGTTGGTTTGGGTGATGGGGGCAAAGTGCTCCCCCCCCACACACACTCTGACCGTGTTGTGTCCAAGATGGCAGAGTCACTGTCTCGTGGCGCATTTCAGTGTGTGACTTCATAGTCCCCCGGTCCAGCCCCTCTGCACCACGTGAGCAGAGCATGGCCACACAGAGGTCACACGGCCTCCTTGCACACCTGAGTGTCACCGTCGCCATCCCCACAGCCGATCCCAGGCTGCCACGGAGCGGTGTCGCCCTCCGGCAGCTAAAGTTGGCATGGCCTGGCACGGCCCCGCTGCTCGGCCTGCCCTGCTTTTCCTTTCGGGCCTCGCTCCCGAGGCAGCCGGGCACCCAGCCCGGGCATCCCACCAGGGCCCGAAGCCGTGGGCTCCCGGCCCCGCTGGCACAGGCAGGGGAGGCTCACAGGCCTGGCACACACGGGCCACAGGCAGAGGACGGGTGAGCAGAAGATGCTCCACGTCAGCTTCGGGGTGGCTGTCACCACTTCAAGGTTGCTGTCGGCCCAGGGTTCCGGGGGCCACAGGAGCTGCGGGAGACAAGGGGACTGTGTTCACAGCCGTCGGGCTGGGCCTTGAGCGCCTCGGGACAGCAGCAGCCCTGGGCATCCTCAGGAGGTGCTGCACACGGCGGCCTGTGCAGTGCACGGCTCCTGCCTCAGAAAGAGGGGAGACCACAGTGTGGGGTCTCTGTCTGTCCCTGGAGCCCAGGGGTCCCACAGCTCTGCCCCACAGCCCATCTCCTGTGCCGCCCGGCTGTGTCCCTCACCCTGCCGCAGGGTCCTCCCCAGCCCCCTCTCCATGAGGACCCCAGGAGGAGCCCCACCCAGCCTCCTGGCTTGGCTTGGCGCAGCCTCGTTCTCTGCCCCACAGCACTGAGCCCTGCCAGGCCCAGGCCTGTGTGGGCAGCTGGGGTGCGGCCCTAAATAGTGCCTGGTCCACAGGTGGAGTTTGAGGATGGGAGCCAGCTGACAGTGAGGCGTGGTGACGTCTTCACGCTGGAGGAGGAGCTCCCCAAGAGGGTGCGGTCCCGGCTGGTGAGTGGCCCTGATACACCCACCCTCCTCCCCATCCCCCTAGCCCTGACCCAACTCAGGCCCTATGTGGCCTGGCCCCAGCCCTAAGGAGCTGTGGCCCACCAGCCATGGGTTGCCAGGGTCACCCACCTCCCTCCTGGGCATGGTCAGAGTGCAGGGCCCCCCACTTGGGGCTCCAGCGAGAGCTGGGGCTGGCCGTAGGGTGTGGGCCATGCCGGCGGCTGCGCTGACCGCTCTGTCTCCTGCAGTCACTCAGCACTGGGGCACCCCAGGAGCCCAGCTTCTCAGGAGAAGAGGTGAAGGCTGCCAAGCGCCCACGAGTTGGCACCCCGATCACCCCCTCCGAGGACTCGGGGCGCAGCCCGGACTACCTGGCCTTCATGGAGAGCCTCCTGCAGGCGCAGGGCCGGCCGGGAGCTCCTTTCTAGGACGGCGCTGCTGCCCTGCCAGCCCGGCGCAGCGGGCCACATTGGCGGCCTGGGTGTCTGCTTGCTGTGAATTCCTGCCCTGCGCCTCTCCCCGCCCGGGTGACCCCGGGGCCCAGGGCCCGCCCCGCCCCCCGGGACTGCAGGACAAATGGGCATGGCAGCCTGGACTCAGGGAGCAGGGCCAGGGCTCCGCAGTGGCCGGACAGTGCCATGACCTCCGCCCTCAGCCCTGTTCTTCTCCAAAAGGTGCTATGGCTGCGGCGAGCAGCCGGGGGCCCGCGCCCCGCCTGGCGATCCCCCCCCCCCGCCCCCCCTGCACGCCAGGAAAGGAGCCCGCGGGAGAACCCAAAGCTGTTTTCTAGATTTGTGGCTTTAACACCAACAAACGAAACAGAACCAGGGGGCTTCTCTTCTCAGCCCCGCGATGCGTGGAGCCGAAGCGCGTGGATTTCTGGGGTTTCCCATCTCCGCAGCCACTGAGCGGGCAGGGACGGCGCCGCAGCTCAGGGACATGGGCAGGCCCGGGGACTCAGATGCCACAGCCGGCCAGGCGCGCCGGGGCTCGGCAGCGGTGACCGGCGGCGGCCGGGCTCTCTGGCGGGGTCCCCGCAGGGCTGCCTGGCTGTCACCGGCTGAGGTGGCAGGACCCTCCAGGCCCGGCCAGCACGTGGGGGGAGGGCAGGGCAAGCCAGGCCCTGGATGTGGCGCGCATCCATCTGCTCAGGCGCGGATGGCACGCAGGTCCCCGCTTGACCTGCCTGGTGGACAGAGGGGCTTCCAGTCCCCCTCCGCCTGTGTCCTCTGCCATATGGACGTGTGACCGAACAGTGGAGGGGCCCCTGGCTTCACAGGGGCTGTGAGGGCCCCGGCCAGGGGAGGGCGGCAGCTGGCGCCCCTCTGCCAAGCCTCGGCCTTGGAAGGACCCGCAGGGGTGGGGGGCCCGCGCTGCCAGGGTCCCGGGGGAGGCGGGGGGCAGCTAGGACGCCCACACGGTGGCCCACGCCCATGTTTGAATGCTATTTATATTGTAAAGAGAATGAAGGGGAGCCTCACCCTGGGTCCGTGTGGGCCGCAGCCCGGGGGCCTGGGTGACCGGCAGAAGGCCACCGCAGGGGTCAGCACAGGTCCCCACCGAGACACCTGTGTCCTATTTTGTGCAAAAGCAAAATGAAACAGAACCCCACCCCCCTGTGTTCCCACGCAGTGCAGGGCGCGCTGTTCCCCCACCTCCCCGCCTCTTGGCCATGAATTAAAGGCTCTTGAGCACTTGGAACTCGGTGTTGGTGTGGGAAGTGTGGTCATTCCTGGCCTGTGCTGGCCAGCGGTGGGCGGGGCAGGGCGGGGCTCAGCCGCCAGGCGGTGCTCACACAGCCGCAGCCCTGGGGTTAGGGAAGGGCTGAGGCCCAGCAGAGGTGTGTGGAGAGGCGCAGTGTGGAGAGGCGTGTGACTTTGCTTCAGATCAGAAGTGAGGTGAACATAAGTGAGCTGTGTCTGGAGGCTGCCGGGCTCCCCAGGCCGCTGCAGGCCCCGCGCGAGCCTCCCCCACTCCGCTGTCGGCTTACCAGGGCCGGATCTGAGAGAAGCCACCATTCACTGCGGCTGTTCAGTCGGCCCTGCACCCACCGAGTTTCCTCTCCTCCACCCTGGCCACTCCTCAGGTCATGGTATGCGTCCATGGCCTGGGGTTTTCCTGGCAGCTCCAAGCACGTCTGCCACACCCCAGGGACCACATCCAAGCCACTCACCCTCTGGTTTAAGATCTGCTAGTGCCGAGGAGCGGGCACCAGTGCTCATGCGTGTCACCCTGGCTACTCCTGAGGGTCAAATCCATGAGACTCTTACCTCCAATAAACTACTAAAAAATAAAACAGTGGGGCTGTGGCTCAAGTGGTAGAGCACCAACCTTGAGTGAAAAAGCTCAGGGACAGCGCTGTGTTCAAGCCCCAGGACCAGCGCGCGCGCACACACACACACGGCGTAGATGTACGGTAGTTCCATTCAAAGCTTTAGATGAGATGGGAGCCCTGCCAGTCCATTTCTATGTTTTACTACGTTGGGAATGAGCCCACAGTCTCATGAGTGTTACTCATAACACTCACCGCTGAAAATAATAATACAACCCTAGAGCTGGGAACCCACTCCCATCTGATCCTCCCCACACCCCACCTCGGGTGGTGAGATCGTCAGTGTGGATTGTTATGCGGCCCTAGCTAGTACAGTACACAAATGTCTTCTCTGAAAAGAGGATCTTTCAGTTATGTCTGGTGTGTGTGTGTGTGTGTGTACTGCCATTCATTTAGGCCACAGGCAATTGGTTTCTGTCATAAATTAGCATTCCCTGCCCTGGCATGTCGTGTCAACAGAATCCTAAGACAAGATTTTTCCTCAGGTTTTTTTTTTTTTCATTTGTTTCTTTGTTTTCCCCTCAGTGCTGTGTACTTGAGATTCAGCCTTGTGTGGTTTTGCAGTGTGGTCCTTTTTTCCTGGCTGCTTAGTATTCCACTGTGTGCATGCACCAAGATTGACACATTCACCAGCTGACACACACTGGTGATTGTGCCTAGAACAGCTGTGAACTTATCCTTGTGAAAGGTTCTTTGTGGCGACCTTGTGATCATTTATTTCCTGTCACTGCATTTCGGCTGGTTGGAGGACGTTGGTGGCTGAGGTGGTTTCAACTATGAAGCTTTTTTCTTCTTCTTCTTCTTGGTCTTGGGGCTTGTACTCTGATCCTGGGCAGGCTCCTTTTGCTCAAGGGGAGCGCTCTACCACTTGAGCCACAGCGCCACTTCCAGTTTTCTGGTGATTCATTAGAGATGAGTCTAATGGATTTTGCTGCCCTGTCTAGCTTCCAACTTTGATCCTTAGATCTCAGCCTCCTGAATAGCTGGGATTACAGGTGTGAGCCACCGGCTTGAAGCAATTTGACAGAATGTTGCAGTGACTGTCCTTGTACCTAGCGTGCAGCCATGTGCTTGGGACACAGTGGCCAGGGCCATGCCTGGTGAGGGGCAGGGTGTTGGAGAGGACCCAGGAAGTGGGTGCATCTCAGAGGACAAGAGTCAAAGTCAGGACCCTTCTCCCTCAGGTCCTGGGGTCACGGGAGGAGCCGGTGATGGGAGCAGACCGGGCCGGGCCCCGGGGTTGACAGGGAGGGGGGTCCAGAGCCACCGCAGCCTGAGCCAGCCGCTGGACACCGGGCCACCAGCACCTGATAATACAATCTTGCAAACAGCTGCCTGGTGACAAGCATAATAAGGGGTATTAATGAGGCCGTTATTACACCTAATTAAAAGCTAATATCTAAGAGTTAATTGCCTTTAAAAGATGAAGCAGGACAGCCTGGGATTTATCTCCGCTCTCCTTAGCTCGCCTGGATAGGCTGATATTGGAGAGCTAATTAATTGAATCAAATCTTACAGAAAACTAATAATCTGATCGTGCGGCCCGGACCTGTGAGCGGGTGTCGGCCGCGGCGTCTGGGACTTTAAGGTCCCGGCGGGGATGGAAGCTGGAGCTGGGGGCTGGGGTTGGGGGCGGGGTTCCCGGCTTCTGGACGGTGCCCACGGGGACTCCCAGGCGGCCTCAGGTTGTTCCAGGGGGACACACAAAGCTGCTTCTAATACCAACATTGCTAATCATTATTAGACCCTTGTATTTGCTTTGGTTGTACTGGACTTTGAACTCTGCACCTCTTGCAGGCCACGCCCCTCAGCGGCGAGCCACGCCCTACTTAGCCACGCCCCTGCTGCTATGCTCCACTGCTTCATCCACGCCCCCAGGCTCCGGCCACGCCCCCAGGCTCCAGCCAGGCCCGCAGGGCTCCAGCCAAGCCCCCAGGGCTCCAGCCACCCTCCAGCTATTTTGTGGTTTATTCTTTAGAGCTTTGCATTTGCCCCCTCTTCAGGCCTGGACTGTGATTCCCGCTTACACATCCTGCATGAACTCAGACCACCACGCCCGACCTGGAGTGCCATTCAGCAGTGCCTCAGGTTCCATCCTCAGCACGGCAAAGGGTCTCACACCTGTCATCCTAGCTCCTCAGGAGGCTGAGATCTGGAGGATCACACTTCAAGGCCAGCCCAAGCAGAAAAGCCTTCAAGCCTCCATTCTCCAATGAACTAGTAAAATGTAGGACTGGAGATGTGGCTCAAATGGTAACAGTATGTAACCCAGAAGAACCAAGTGAGCTCAGGGCCCCAGGTTACTATTCCTATAACCCCCCCCAAAAAAAAATTTTTTTTCTAAGGGCTGGGAAGGTGGCTCAGTGGTAGAGCACTTGCCTTGCATGCATGAGGCACTGGGTTCCATTTCTCAGTACCACATAAGCAGAAAAAGCCGGAAGTGGCGCTGTGGCTCAAATGGTAGAGCTCAAGCCTTGAGCTGAAAAGCAAAGGGACAGCGTCCAGGCCCAGAGTTCAAGACCCACTACTGGACCCCCCCCCCAATTTTTTTTTTTAAATCTGAGAACATAGCCTGGAGGATGGAAGGACGGCCGATGGTGGCCGGGCGGGAGCTGGCCTCTACTGTGTCTTCGTTATTGTGGCTGGGACAGAGGCATGAGCGCAACCATCCCTCAGGCCCCGTAGGGACACCGAGCTCGTATTGAGGGACAGTCAGAAGCTTGCACACTGTGGGCAGACGTGGGCTGAGGGACACGTGTTGGCGAGCTGTGCATTTGGAGGCCTGCTGTTTGTGCCAACACCATGCATGTCTCTGCTTGTGGTCACAGGACCATTTCGTGTTTTATGTTACAACTCAGTTTCAGACGAGAGAACAGTAGGGGTGATGCTCTGGGAATTTTCTTAAAAAAAAAAAAAAGCAGGGAACAGTCAGATTCCATTAGCACTGAGAAGTCCCCGGGACAATCGCAGCTGTGGGTGCTTTCCACAGATGTGTGTGCGTGTCTGTAAACTTACCAGAGAAGAACCCATGGAGCTGGTCACGCCTGTCATCCCAGCTACATAGGAAGCTGAGGTCTGGGGACTGCAGTTCAAAGCCAGCCTGGAACTTCTGTGAGAGTCATCTCCAATAAATTACTCCGAAAAAGCTTGCAGGGGAGCCATCTATAAATCAGCAGCTAGCCACCCAGTCTTACAACTGTCTCCTTTGTGGTTATTCTTAAGCCTTTAACACGGAGGAGGTCACTTCCTCCAGGAAGCCTCTTCCACCATGATTTTCCTGTACTGTACTTCGTGGTCCCTGCTCCCTGGGTATAGGCTCACTTCTTAAATATGGTGCCTGGCACTTGTAGCTCATGCTTATAGTCCTAGCTACTCAGGAGACTGAGATTTGAGGATCATGGTTCAAAGCCAGCCTAGGTAGAAAAGTCTGTGAGACTCTTATCAATTAACCACCAAAAAGCTGGAAATGGAGCTGTGGTTCAATTGGTAGAGCTGTATCTTTGAGCAACAAAGCTCAGAAACAGCACCAGGACCAACACACACACACACACACACACACACACACAAATATTGGCTGAGGGGATAAGTCTTCATCAATTTATTATTATTATCTTTTGGTTGGTCATGGGTCTTGAACTCTGGGCCTGGGCGCTGTCCCTCAGCTCTTCAGCTCAAGGCTAGCACTCTACCACTTGAACCACAGTGCCACTTCTGGCTTTTTCTGCTTAGGTGGTGCTGAGGACTCGAACCCAGGGCCTCATGCATGCAAGGCAAGCGCTCTACCACTGAGCCACCTTCCCAGCCCATCGATTTATTATTGAGACACGGTCTCGCTATTTAGCCCAACCTGGTCTGGAACTGTTGTTCTCCCCTCCTGGCCTCAGCCTTCTGAGGCTGAGATTACAGATGTGTGCCACCATGTTTGGAATTGGCTTTTGTTTTTATTCTGGCCATCCTGGTAGGCACAGGGGACTTGTGGAGCCTGCAGGGACTTTGTGTGAGGCCTCAGCACAGTCTCAGACCAGGTGACCAGGGTGGGACGCAGCCCAGGATGATGAATTCACAGGCTGGGTGGTGTCCCCCACTTCCTGCCCGGAGCCCTGTGGGAAGCGCTGGGTTAAACCTGCATCAAGGCCCCAAGCCCAGGCTATTGAGGAGAAGCAGGCGGCTGCAGCCTGTTTGAAAAGAGGTGGAGGAGGCAGAGAGATAAAGGCAGGACCTGCGGCCTGCTCTCCCCTCCCTGCCCTGGTCTTTGGGGGGGGGGGCAGCCCCTTTGTCTGCATTGACTGAAATACAAACAGAAGAATCTGCCGCTTGCTCTCGCCTTCTGCGGGAAGGTAGTGAATTCGGCGGCTACAGGCAGAGCCGGCGGAGGGAATGGCTTTGGAGAGATTATTTTGTTCATTTTTAAATAACTTTTCATGTCAGGCGGGCTGGTCACTGCGCGCGGCTCTGCTCCGCACAATGGCCCGGAGTCCTGCGGCGCGCGGCCGGTGTCCCCCCTCCCTCCCGCCCGCGCCCCCCTCCCCCCTGCGCTGCGCTTTGATTCTCAGGCACGCAGCTTTATCTGCTGGGCAAAGCAGATAACCATAACATAATAGAAACAAAACCCCGTCCTGTGCCGCTTCCTGCCGAGGGCTCCGCGCGGGCTCCTCGCCCTTAAGGACGCGGGTAGAAAAAAATGGGGCCAGTACCGGAATCCTGGGCTTTGTAAGGCGCTGCGTGCTCGGCCGGGCACGATCCCCGCGGCGCACGGCCTGCCTGGTGGACATCGCCTTGCGATGACCGGTGGGGCCCTGATGGTCAGCGGGCCCCGGGGTCCGGCCTGCTGGAGGCCCGCCCAGACCAGCCTCACCGCCCCACAGACCCCACGGGACGGGACTGGCCGCCGAAAGGGGCGTGCCGTGCCGCCGGAGGGGCGTGGCGTGGAGCCCCACATGGCGAGCTGTCTATTGGGATTGGACAGGGGGCAGCTTGGGGGAGGAGCATGAAGGACAGTTTGTACCCATTAGTGTGGGGGGAGAGGTGAGGCGCGCGGCCTAACTGGGTCTCTATGGGCTGCGTGCTCCAAGGCCTAAAGAGGGAGGTTAGGGGGGAAACAGCCCCGAGGGAGGAGAGAGGAATCCTGAGGGGAGAGGAGTCAGGAGAGGAGAATAAGGGGAAAAGCAGAGTCCTGAGGGAGGCGAGGCGTGGAGGGGAGGGGAAAGCCTGCTGGAGCAGCGCAGAGCAGGCCTGTGCAGGGCAGGGCAAGCCTTGAGCGGCCACTTGGGGCCTCCTCTGAGGCCATTTGGGACGAGAGGCCTGTGGGGAGGCGCCCCCTGGAGCACGCAGGAGAGTGGAGAGGCCTGCAGGGAAGGAGACGGGAAGAAAAGGAATAGAGGTTTGGAGGTCTGAGCTTTGCAGGTCAGGGGTCAGGGCTGCCTATTGGAGGCTTGGAGGCTTGGTAGTGGAGGCTGCTCTTGGTTATGAGCTCTTTCTGGTGTGAATAGTCTATATAAACCTTGTCTACCTCGATGGATTGTCTCGCTCTCAGGAGGTCCTAAGCACGTTTCAGCCTACTCACACAGCTGGGTCCTCTTCAAGCAACTTCTTGCTGGCCTAGGGGTCAGGCCAGGACGTGACAACCACTCACACGTGGGAGGAAGGGCGGGACAGCTGGACAGAGGCTCGGAGGGGAGGCTCTCCGCGGGTGTGACACCGAGGGGCCGGATGGTAGCGACCCGCGGCACCATCGCCAGGACAGGAGTGGGGCGTGAGGGATACGAGTCCGGTCGCAGCAGCCTGCGGCCCTCTTCCTCCCCCTGCTTCCCAGAGTGGCTCAAGGGAGAACAAGGGGCCCTTTATAGGACGGGGCCCAGCAGGAGGAAGTGACGCCATGGGGCGGGCTCACCGCTGGCCACGCCCCTCGTGGCTGCTCGGCTGGGGGGGCTCCCGGCCCGAGGCGCCGCCCACTGCGCCCACTGCGCCCGTCTCCAGTACGGAACCCCGAGCGTCACTGACGTCACGATGGCCTGCGCTCCCGCAGTTCGCGGCCCCACATGGCTGCTTCTGTTTGTGGCGGGGCTCGTGTGCTCGCCGTCCTTGTCGGTCGTGGAACTCTGGGCCTGGGCGCTGTCCCTCAGCTCAAGGCTAGCGCTCTACCACTTGAGCCACAGCGCCACTTCCAGCTTTTTTCTTTTTGCTTATGTGGTGCTGAGGAATCGAACCCAGGGCCTCTGGCATGCAAGGCAAGCGCTCTACCTTCCCAGCCCCAATAGGTGCTTTCTTAGAGCAGACTTTAGCACTGGCCTTTGAGGACTGCGTAGGAGCTCTTGGGGCACAAGAGCCTAGTGTATTGGTCTTGGATGACTCCGGTAGGCACAGGCTTGGGTTAGCATGTCTTTTGTCTCCTGTCCCACAGTATGAAATGAGAAGGTTCCTGTCCCATACTTGTGCATTCAGCGGTTACTGAATGTGGTGCACGTATGGTTCCCTGCCTGTTTTCCTCTGCTCGCTGCCTGACTTTCCCACCACCCACGAGGCTGCAGTGTGTGTTCTCCCGTGCCAACTCCTCCACCACTGCCAGGGCCCCCTCCCGTCTCCCCTCGACTCCTTCCTCGTTCACTTGCTTCTGGTGGCTATGGTGGACAGTTACAAGATGTGGGATGAATGCTTTCCAAGAAATGGACTTTGATTTTGCTCAAAGCATTCCCATATTGGGGTTGGTCTCCATCTTCCCTCCTCTCCTGGTCTCGCTGTTCTATTCCTTAGCAACTGTCTGAATTGGAGCTTGGGTCATTTGTTTTTATGATTTCACTTTTTTTCTGGTTGGTTGTGGAGCTTGAACTCTGGGCCTGGGCGCTGTCCCTCAGCTTCAGCTCAATGCCAGCCCTCTACCACTTGAGCCACAGGCCACTTCTGGTTTTATTGGATCAGTCACACAGCCTTTCCTGCCAGTGCTGGCTTTGAACCGCAATCCTCAGATCTCAGTCTCCTGAGTAGCTAGGATTACAGGTGTGAGCCACATATGCCCAGCTTCACTAAAATATGTTCCAGACTTTGAATTTTCCTCTCAATACTACCCGGGTGGCACCTTAGATTTTAGTCTGTGATGCATATTTTTGAGTGGTTAGGTTTCAGACACTTGTGACTTCATTTTGATATCCCACACACAGTGTGACAGTGACTAGGCATGGCCATGAGTGGCCCAGGACACGGGAGGGGCTGCCCCAGACTGGGCCATGGCCACAGGTGGTGAGGAGCCCACCCTGGTTAAGGCTGTGCTGGGGCAGACCATGCTTGCTGGCCTCCAGGTGTGTGACCTGTCTGCCCCCTGCTGAACCTTGGTTTCCTCATCTGTGAGGTGAGACTTGCGTCTGAGCCCAGCCCACAGCAGATTCTCAGAGTCACCATTATCAGCACAGAGGCAGTTCCTAGTGGGCTGGGTCTGGGATTCCGGTTCAAATCCCAGTTTGTTCAGACGGATCACACCGCCTCTCGGGGTGTTAGGCGCAAATAAGACTCCAGTGGCCCGGTCGGACCGTCTCCCTTTAATACAAAGTCGATTTATCTACATACACGGCGCGGAGCCCCCGCTGCTCCGGTGCGGACAGACGCGGGCGCAGCGCCGAGGGCTCCATACATACAAAGAGGAAAGCTCGCTGGCGC